TTCTTTAAAAATCCTGCCATGTGAATTCATGGATTTTTTTTTCACATTCTGTCTCTCACAGTTGAAATGTACCTATGATGTAAATTACTGACCTCTGTCATCATTTTAAGTGGGAGAACTTGCGCAATCGGTGGCTGACTAAATACTTTTTTGCCCCACTGTACTTAGTAAGTCCTGGCTGGCCACTTTCTGTTTTAGGCTATCACCTTTGTTTTATGAAATGTTTTCACATAGTCATTCCTGGCTGGCTAGTTCACTTTTCAATGTTTAATTGATCTTCTGTTAGTCTTCCAGTTTAAGTCCACTGATGGTTTTTTTGTAGTTAATTTTAACCCTAACAGGTTCACAGCTTTAGTTTCGGTCTGCCTCGGTACTCCAAGTTTTAGTAATTCCCTGCAACCCTAATATCTGTAATTCCTCTTCTCTACTTAAAACATTGAAATTCTGTTGGTTTTAAACAATGTTTTTCTGTAGTGAATTGCACCCGTTTTTACTGCTTTCTTTTTAGTCTCCTGACATGTTTAGCTTAAGCTTTTGTTTTCACTTATTTAGTCAATCCTGGCTGACCACATTTAGTTCTTTTCTCAATGTTTTACTGTTAGTTATCTAGTCATTCCATTGTTCATTTTGTGTTTGTTTTGTCTGTTCTTACTGCTGTAAAGCACATTGAGTTGCCTTTGTGTAGGAAATGTACTACATAAATAAAGCTGTCTTGTCTTGTCAGACACCCTGTGGAGAAAACTAATTTTGGCCTCTTGTATCAATGATCTCATTCTTTCGGTCACTGCACAATTATCGTGGCCATAGTTGAGGGCAGGAACAAAGATTGACCGGTAAATCAAGAGCTTTGCCTTCAAGCTCAGCTCTCTCTCTCTCTCTCTCTCTCTCTCTCTCTCTCTCTCTCTCTCTCTCTCTCTCTCTCTCTCTCTCTCTCTCTCTCTCTCTCTCTCTCTCTCTCTCTCTCTCTCTCTCTCTCTCTCTCTCTCTCTCTCTCTCTCTCTCTCTCCACCACGACTGGTACAACACCTGCTTTACTGCAGACGCAGCAGCAATCCGCCTGTCGGTCTCTCGCTCCATCTTTCCATCCCTCGTGAAAAAGACTCTGAGATACTTAAACTCCTCCACTTGAAAAATACACTCTCTTTGTTTTAGTGTGACAGTAGCAGAAATGCCTATGTACCTCATAATCAAAGGATTGCAGGTTTGAGCCCTACTCAGTCTGCCGCTGTGTCCTCAGGCAAGACACTTTACACTTCTTGCCTGCTGGTGGTGGTCAGAGGGACCGGTGGTGCAAGTGTTTGGCACCCTCACTTCTGTCAGTGTGTCCCAGGGAAGCTGTGGCTACCCCTGTAGTTCATCACCATCAGCATGTGTGTGTGTGTGTGTGTGTGTGTGTGTGTGCGTGTGCGTGTGTGTGCATGTGTGCATGCATGCATGTTTGTAAAAGAGAGACAGAATAACAGTTTTGTAAAACACCTTGGGAAGTTGTAAACCCCTAATAGGTGCTATATAAATGCCATGCCACTTGTTTTGTGGGCAAATTATTAAATAAATGGTAAATGGCCTATATTTGATATAGCACCTTCTAGAGTCCTGGAACCCCTCAAGGCGCTTTACAACACAATCAGTCACACAATCAGTCATTCACCCATTCACACACACATTCACACACTGGTGGGGATGAGCTACAATGTAGCCACAGCTGCCCTGGGGTGCACTGACAGAGGCGAGGCTGCCGAGCACTGGCGCCACCGGTCCCTCCGACCACCACCAGCAGGCAAGGTGGGTTAAGTGTCTTGCCCAAGGACACAACGAGAGCGACAGACTGAGCGGGGCTCAAAACTGCAACCTTCTGATTGCGGGGCGAGCACTTAACTCCTGTGCCACCGTCGCCCATTAGTGAAAGGCAATTATTTATATGGATGCTTAATACCATAAACCCTCTAATACAGGCCCGGGCCTGTATTTGACTCAAGCTCATCAAGCTCCAGGCCTTTATTGGAAGGAGGGCCAGTATTGGAGGCAGGCCTCTATTTCTATTTGAGCAAAATGAACTAATGGTTCGCTGGAGTTTTTGACAATTAAAATTGCGCCCACATTTTCAAAGTTAAACACATTTCTTTTAACAACGGTAGTTTCTGCTTCAGCCATCTCCCCCCTCCCCCTGCTTCAGCCCTCTCCCCCCTCCCCCTGCGCAGCGGCGCAAACTCACTGATGCGCCTGCAGCCTCTCGGAGTTGCTGCTGCTCTAAACATTAAAATAATTATTTCATTTTCTGTTCCTCACTTCTGATGACCTTCAATGGTGTCTGTTTGTTGCAACCAGCAGGTACAAAAACTAACTTGTTTTTATTTGACTATTTTTCTGTCCTGCCTGTTTATTATCTTCCTGCATCTCCTCTCAATCCTAAAGAAAAACTGCTACCTGGGTTCATATATATTCACCTCATGAGTTACCTTTGAACTGCAGTTCTAAAAGATCTACCGACCGCAAAAACAGCGGAGCGCTCGCTGTTTGGCGGCCGTATCAGTGATCAGTGCGTCGGAGGACAAGGTGATGCGCGCAGCGCCCCGCTCCACAGCATGCAGCGAAACGCATCAGGCGCAAATAAAAGACAGAAAACATTAAAGGAAATGAACTGACATGAACGATCGCGTGTTAAATTAGTTTTTGAGGTGGCGACACCTGATTGTTACTGTGGCCGTGCTCAGGAGGCAGATCTACCGACCGCGAAAACAGCGGAGCGCTCCCTGCTTGGAGGCCGCATCAGTGATCTGTGCGTCGGAGGACAAGGTGAAGCGCCCCGCTCCACAGCAGCGATACACATCAGGCACAAATAAAAGATAGAAAACATTAAAGGAAATGAACCGACATGAATGATTGCGTGTCAGTACCTACGGTCGCGGGGATTCCCTCCACGTCGCACAACGTCACAAACCGCAGCTATAAACGGAAGTCGCCTTTCCAGCTCACCACTCAGTCATCGTTTCTTCAGATTCATGATCAGAGTTTCCAACCTACCGATCAATCCAACGAACTATCAGCTCATAGTAAGTTATCTTACTTACTTCTGGAAAGCCCGGCATTTCCGTGTCACTTTGTTGACGCTCGAACACTCGGGGGTTTCCTAGAGCAGCCGGATTTCACCGACGCTCTCACTTCCGCGTCTGTGAAACCACGCTCCCTATTGAATTATCTTATGATCACATTCTCTTTTTGTGGGTAAAACTCAAGAAAAAAATTTTTTTTACTTGTTTTTTTTTAGTTTTATTACAAAAAGGGCATTTTATGATGAAATTGATGAAAAAAACAATAATTTCTTGATATTTCGCATAGAAAAATACCGCGAATCAGTGAAAAATACCGCGAATCTGCGAATTCCCCCTGAAAAATGCTCCAAAGAAAAAATCTGCGAAGCAGCGAATCCGCGATGAACGAACCGCGAAGTAGCGAGGGATTACTGTATAGTGAAGTTGACTAGTTCATACACCCCCTACTGCTGCTCTCCAGAGTGTTCTGCAGCATAATCAGCACGTTCTCTTTGAACTTGATAGTGTAATGACCTGGCTGGGGTTGTAAGCCAGGTGCATTCTGGGTATTGTGTTATATGTGTTTCCTATCATTCTGCTAGTTCCTATGTGCTGATTTGCGTGTTGTGTGAGTGTTATGTAAGCCACAGGGAAGGTGATGTGTGTTCTGTGGAGCGGGTTGAATTAGCATGGTTAACTGACACCGTGACTCTGTGTGGTAGGAGCGTGATAGAGGATCGTGTCTGTAGCGTTACAAAGCGTTGAAGAAAAAGCCTAATAAAGGTCTGCGTGAACCTCTACTGCCTCCTGCTGGTAGATTTGGGGACTATAACCCTGCCGCTGAGACGCTCATACTTGCTTATTACCACATTCCACCCGGCCTCAATAAGAGACCGGCCATTATTCACCTCCGCTGACTCCGACACCGGCCAAAATTGGAGACCCGACCTTTAATTGAATACCGGCCTGTATTAGGCCTGTATTAGAGGATTTACGGTATACGTGTGTACATGTTTGACAGTATCTAAATGCATCACTACTGCACCATTTCCAAGGTGGCCATCAAGGAAGCACAGCAATTAGTCCCGAAGGACACAATGATCCTATAAACATCCCCAACTACTAAGAGTAGAACACAAGATGGACTAACAATAGAAGAAGATCCTTATGTGAAATGTATGTGTGGTGAGACTTAACACCACTAAGAGGTATATCAGTTCCAATGGTTCCTAAATTATGTTGCTAACAGAAAAAACTACAACAAAAAAATTACCTAAGGGGAAATAAACTCAGTAGATGTGTTACTATGAATTATTAGGTAAATGATTATGAACAACAACAAAATTATAATAATGATACTAATACTACTACTAAAAATAATAATTATTATTATTATTATTATTATTGTTATTATAATAGTCTGAGTCAGAAGGTGAAGCTCTCGATTTACCAGTCGGTCTACGTTCCTACCCTCACCTATGGTCACTAGCTTTGGGTAATGACCGAAAGAACGAGATCGCGGATACAAGCGGCCGAAATGAGCTTTCTCCACAGAATGGCTGGGCTCTCCCTTAGAGATAGGGTGAGAAGCTCAGTCATCCGGGAGGGGCTCGGAGTAGATCCGCTGCTCCTCCACATCGAAAGGAGCCAGTTGAGGTGGCTCGGGCATCTGGTCAGGATTCCTCCTGGACGCCTTTCAGGTGAAGTTTTCTGGGCATGTCCAACCAGGAGGAGGCCTAAAGGGAGACCCATGACACGGTGGAGGGACTATGTCTCTCACCTGGCCAGGGAACACCTTGGGATTCCCCCGAAGGAGCTGGCCCACAGGTGGCTGGGGAGAGGGAAGTCTGGGCCTCTCGACTTAGGCCACTGCCCCTGCGACCCGACTCCGGATAAGCGGATGAAAATGGATGGATGGATAATAATAATAATAATAATAATAATAATAATAATAACAATAAACATTAAACAGAAGAGGATAAAAGGTCAAAGATAACCCACACAGTGACCTTACATGCATACACACACATCCATAATAACTAAGACTGATTAAATTTGAGTGAAGCAGGATGCTTTTTGCACACTGATGTGAGGTTCAACCATCCATTGTCTGAACCCGCTTTGTCTACGTAGGGCCGCGCGGGGGGGCTGGTGCCTATCTCCAGCGGTCAATGGGCAATCAGGTGGGGTACACCCTGGACAGAGAGCCAGTCCATCGTAGGGCAACACAGAGACACACAGGACAAACAATCACGCACACACACACTCACACCTAAGGACAATTTAGACAGACCAATTAACCTAACAGTCATGTTTTTGGACTGTGGGAGGAAGCCGGAGTACCCGGAGAGAACCCACGCATGCACAGGGAGAACATGCAAACTCCATGTAGAAAGATTCCAGGCTGGGAAGCGAACCCAGGACCTTCTTGCTGCAAGGCAACAGCTCTAACCACTGCGCAGCCCGTTCAACCATCCTTTAAATCAAACACTAAAAAAAGACACAATCATCACTTCTGCCTGATGCTTCATGGACCAACGAGCACAAAGTGTTCTGGACGTTTTGGGGAGAAAACAAACATGAGAGGAAAATAAATTCTCCAAAATAGCGCACAAACACACTATGTGTAACAACATCTCCAAAGAGACATCAAACCAGATTAACGTCACAGCCATGCATGACCAGCCTCCCTCTTACTGGTGTTGCAGAGGATTTTTGGTAAAAGGCTAACACTGACTGACAGCATCCCAAGATTACTTCATCACTCAGGAATGTGAGTAGCATGTAACACAAACTTCAAACGCATCTTAAAAGGCTGGTTGTTTCTCACTGAAAGCATCAAGATATTCTTCTGTGTGTCTTTGTTAATTTGTTTAGGCTTTGCTCTGTCACATCCTGTAAAATTAGGTCATTATAAACAGAGCCAATGAGAGACAAAACCAAATTTATTAGGCACCATTCCAGTTTTGAATAAACAAACTGAAATTGCATAGCTCCAACTGTCAAGCTGCTCTGCACATTGGTTTTAATGAATTAAACAGCCAAGAAAGAAGATGTTCAATCCAGCCAGCACAAAAGTGATTCGTGTATAATTGATGAGTGACTCAGTGTTGGAGCTTCATGTTGGGACTGGTGGGTGTTATCAGCTGGGGAGCAAATGCAAATGTACAGCAAGCTGTGAAACAAAGAGGGTTTCTTGCCTTTCCCCAAGTCCAGGAACTTTGAGAAGACCAGAACAAGGATGTATGTGCATTTTAGATTGTTGTGTCGTGTGCAACGTTGTTGTGTGTCAAACAACCCTCTGGCTTAGATGTGATACGTGTCCTTTAAAGTTCTCCCTTGTGTCAGATCTGAACAAAACAATAAACTTACTTAACCAAATATTTGTTGGTGTAAAACCAACTTACAACGTTTTTTCACGACAAGTAGTCTGGGTCTGCATAATACTTAGTGAAAGATGTGAAACAAAGTGGATGTTTCCCTGTCATCCAAACAAACCTTGACTCTTGACATCACATTCAGAGATGAATAGAAACAGACTGAAAGATATCTTCCCACAACTTAAAGAAGAGTCCTTTTAAGATGAACGTTCTGGCAGTAACACACAAGCAACAGCCTGTTTGTCAAGTTCAGCTAAATCCATTGGCTCCAAGAAGAAATCAGTTTTCTTTGCTCTGAGGATAATGCTTCATTCACATTATAGAATATGACAATAAAACCATTTGCTCACAAATTTCAAGCTTTCTGTGAGGAAAATATTCAGCTGTAATGCTCTTGACCTGCAGTGATAACTCCCAGTTTGGGCTTGTGAGGACAGCAGGTTCAATAGCTTTCAGATGTTTGCACAGGCAGAAAGCAGCAGAGAACCAGAGGTAAACAAGCATCAGGCCCCAGACGCTTCTGGGTGTCCTCAAATGGAAAATGAACTTTAGTCAAGAAAAAACAAACATTTTAATGATTAAATCTGAGTGGACTGAAAGCAAAGTCTAAACTGGATGTCTAAATTTTAAGGTTTAAGAGTAAAATGACCAACTTTTTTGAACTGACATGCTAACTGTGCTGATGTTATCAGCAACACCAGTTTTATTTAAATAGCAATTTTAACGATCCAGATGATACTGAACATACAAAGTAACAACAACTTAAAGGGACTTTTCGGACTTTTGAATTTTTATGCTCGCGATTGCCCACTCAGGCCAAAAGCGTAACTGCAGCTTCAATAGTAGGCTCGTGCACGAGACACGCGTGCTGTATGTGCACACTCCTGAACAAATACAACAGCTGAGTCAGTCCCGTAACGGTGTAGTTTACAGGTTTGCCGGCATGACTTCGACAGAGGTAATAAATGTAATATAATATATTTAGACCAAATCAATTTGGACTGCATATTTTCCAGGTTGTGATAGGTGCATGCATAGCAAAGTGAGCAGAGTGAGGAAGCCAAATAATACCGATATATGAATAAATTATGTTTGATGGAGGAAAAAATACTAACGTTGACCCTATTGTAATAATAAAATAATTCAACTGGTAGCTAATAAGCACTTTACTGGTTGCTACTTGACAAGTACAGGCCATTTACTAGAAAAAAAATCATGATGTGATGGACTGCTACTTTTTTACTTTTACTAGAGTAAAAATACATAGAGGTACTGCTACTATAACTTGAGTACACCTTTTGTGTACTCTACCCACCTCTGCTCTTCTTTTGCATCCAGGTAAAGATAGTCTTAGCAACATTATTGTCATTAAATATAAATACACCATTACCAAAATGTTTTATGGATTATTACAGTAAAGCTTTTGTAAAACATGCATTCCATCACATTAACGTGTAAACCTTATTACTTTTCCTTCAAGGAATCCAGTGCATCTCATTACTCAGAAGTTTCTGAAGAGAGTAGTGATTCTGGAGGTGGCAGAGGGAGAGCAGGCAGAGGAGCAGGCAGAGGAGCAGGAAGAGGAGCAGGGAGAGGAGCAGGGAGAGGAACAAGGAGAGGAGCAGCCAGAAGGAGAAACAGATATGAAAGTACAGGCCGGGGGAGAAGCCAGGCTAGAGGAAGAAGAGCTAGAGCAGGACACATTAGTGAGGAAGACAGAGAACGGGTTGCTCAGATGTCTGCCGACAGAACTGCAGAGTTACAGGTAGGTCATAATGCAGAACACTAACACATTTCACAATCATAAAGTTTATAAAATAAATTCTGCCTTTCGTTTTCAGGCACAGTTGCAACACCTAACTACGGAGGAAAAAGATGAAGTCCTTCAGATGGTTGTTAGACGTCTGCCAGGAGTGTTACTGGGCATTATGGACTATAGTTGGGCACACCAGGACTCCCTCCATCAAACCAGGGTTAGCCAGCTTGGTGCACCTGCTCCTACAGCCGAATGATGCCTAAAGACCTGGAAAACAAGTGTTGTAGACAGGATACAGAAGGGCGTTTGAGCAGGCGTGCTCATTTTAACCTGTACTGCATGGATGAAGGCATCCTGCGTTTGGCTCGGCAGACGTGGAATGACATTTTGGCTCTGCGTGATAGCCAAGACCCTGGATCAGATAATTGGGAGTACCATTACTGTGCCTATAGACAGTACACTATTTGGCAATATGGACGTCTTGGTGCAAGCAATCGTAGGGTGATTCTTTCCTGCTGTGTTTGAAGGATCAGAGACAAAAACCCTGACCATTTTGGTATTTGTGTTGGTTATAAAGAAGCCCCCTTCCGTTGAAACTAACATGCAACTCATGACCAACTACGAAGTTTGACTTACTTTTATTGTTGTTGCAAACTTTTTTTGCATATTTTTATTAAAACATATTTACATAAATATATCTGCAGTGTCCATCTTTGATTGCCATCAGCCTCTGTTCAGGTATCACATAATAAGTTACATTTATATAATTTTCATCCACAACAATGGAGAGGGCATTTGGTTATAATCACTACCTGTCCTCAGCGTTGCTGTGTCTGCACCAGTTCAGCTGTAGGAGGAGGGGTGATCGTAGAGAGAGGACCCAGGGCCCTGGGGTCATCTGGCTGAATGCTTCTTCTTTTTGGGAGTCCCCCAGCAGAGCTGAGGCGCTTCTCCAGTATTCTTGTCTGCAGCTCTGGGATGTAGCCGTAGTCTTTGGTCTCCTTTACAGTGTGAACACTGTAACGCTGCGACTTTTTGCTGTAGACTCGTTTGTGTCTAAAAACATGAATTTAGACAGTTGAAAGTTATATAAAGGTATTATGAATATATAAAAGCTACCAAGTTTGACTTACGATACTTGGCCTTTGCTGTTCACAAGCACTGGGCGATGGCTATGGTGGTTGTAGTCTAATGTAGCGAGGAGTTTGCTAGCTTCATTGACACCATATGAGAATGCAAAGCATTTCCCCGCATACATCAAGATGCGATTTTGGAACGACTCCAGCTCAGCAGTGGTCCTGGGGGAAAACAACACAATGTCTGTAGAAGAAAGAAATTTGAACTCAGCGCAATATAATATACTTTGTAGTAGGTAATACAATAAAACAGACACGTATCAGGGCGATACCGATCAAATGTACTCGTGTGTGTAGTTTACAGATAAAACAACCAATACAAAAAATGTAGAAACTGCAGTATTTTCATCTAAAAAAATTAATTTTGAGATGAAATTTCATATTAGTGGTTGTTTATTTGTATTTTGCATTTTATCTAAATCTACTTCAATTGTAGGACCAGGCAGAGAAGAAAATAAAACCTGTCTTCTGCTTCATTGCATTGTGTGATTGGGAGGAACGGTCCACCTGATCTGAACTCGAGTGGTGTTTCGTTATTGGACTTCTGTGCAAGCCGCAGTTTGGCCATAACGAACACCATGTTCGAACATAAGGATGCCCACCGGTACACTTGGTACCAGGGCAGCCTAGGTCACAGGTCGATGATAGACTTTGTAGTCGTATCATCTGACCTGCGGCCGTATGTTTTGGACACCCAAGTGAAGAGAGGAGCGGAGCTGTCAACTGATCACCACCTGGTGGTGAGTTGGATCAGATGGTAGGGTAAGATGCCGCGTTGACCTGGCAGACCCAAACGCATAGTGAGGGTCTACTGGGAACGCTTGGCAGAAGAACCTGTCAAGACGGACTTCAAATCCCACCTCCGGCAGAGCTTTGACCGCGTCCCGAGAGCAGTAGGGGACATCGACTCCGAGTGGGCCTTGCTCCACTCTGCGATTGTTGAGGCGGCTTTTGCTAGCTGTGGTCGCAAGGTAGCCGGTGCCAGTCGTGGTGGCAACCCCCATACCCGCTGGTGGACACCAGAAGTTCAGGGAGCCGTCAGGCTGAAGAAGGAGGCCTACAGGGCGTGGCTTGTCTGTGGGTCTCCGGAAGCAGCAGACTGGTACCGGATAGCCAATCAGGGTGCAGTAGTGGCAGTTGCCGAGGCAAAATCATGGGTGTGGGAGGAGTTTGGTGAGGCCATGGAGAAAGACCATTGATCGGCACCAAACAGGTTCTGGCAAACTGTCCGGCGCCTCAGGAGAGGGAGGAAGCAACTCGCTCACACTGTTTACAGTGGGGATGGAGAGCTGCTGACGTCAACTGGGGCTATAGTCGGGCGGTGGAAGGACTACTTTGAGGAGCTCCTCAATCCCACCTATGCGCATTCTGAGGAGGTGCCAGAGCCGGGAGACCTGGGGATGGATTGTCCAATCTCTGGGACAGAAGTTGCTGAGGTAGTCAAACAACTACACAGCGGCAGAGCCCCGGGGGCGGATGAGATTCGTCCTGGGTATCTCAAGGCTATGGCTGTGGTAGGGCAGTCGTGGTTGACACGTCTATGCAACATTGCGTGGTCATCGGAGGCAGTTCCTGTGGAGTGGCAGACCGGGGTGGTGGTCCCCATCTTTAAGAAGGGTGACCGGAGAGTGTGTTCCAACTATAGGGGGATCACACTCCTCAGCTTCCCTGGAAAAGTCTACTCCAAGGTACTGGAGAGGAGGGTCCGATCGATAGTTGAATCTCAGATTGAGGAGGAGCAATGTGTTTTTTGTCCTGGCCGTGGAACTGTAGACCAGCTCTATACCCTTGCAAGGGTGATGGAGGGGGCATGGGAGTTTGCCCAACCAATCCAAATGTGTTTTATGGATTTGGAGAAGGCTTATGACCGTGTCCCCAGGGGCACCCTGTGGGGGACGCTCCAGGAGTATGGGGTGGGTGGCCTTTTGTTAAGGGCCATTCAGTCCCTTTACCAGAGGAGCGTGAGTTTAGTCTGCATAGACAGTAGTAAGTCGGACCTGTTCCCGGTGAGGGTTGGAATCCACCAGGGCTGCCCTTTGTCACTGGTTCTGTTCATTACCTTTATGGACAGAATTTCTAGGCACAGCCGTGGTGTGGAGTGTGTCGAGTTTGGTGGCAGGAGAATCTCGTCTCTGCTTTTTGTGGATGATGTGGTCCTCCTAGCTTCATCTAGCTTTGACCTTCAGCTCTTGCTGGGTAGGTTTGCGGCGGAGTGTGAAGCGGCTTGGATGAGGATCAGCACCTCCAAATCTGAGACCATGGTTCTCGACCGGGAAAGGGTGGCTTGCTAACTCTGGGTCGGGAGAGAGGTCCTACCTCAAGTGGAGGAGTTTAAGTATCTCGGGGTCTTGTTCACAAGTGAGGGTAGGAGGGATCAGGAGATCGACAGGCAGATTGGTTCAGTGTCTGCAGTGAGCCGATCTGTCGTGGTGACGAGGGAGCTGAGCCAGAAAGCCAGGCTCTCAATTTACCGGTCGATCTACATCCCAATCCTCACCTATGGTCATGAGTTTTGGGTAATGACTGAAAGAACGAGATCACGAATACAAGAGGCCAAAATGAGTTTCCTCGGTAGAGTGGCCGGGCTCAGCCTTAGAGATAGGGTGAGGAGCTCGGACATTCGGGAGGGACTCGGAGTAGAACTGCTGCTCCTCCGGATCAAAAGGAGTCAGTTGAGGTGGTTTGGGCATCTGGTCAGGATGCCTCCTGGACGCCTCCCTGGGGAGGTGTTTCGGGCATGTCCTACCGGCAGGAGGCCCCCGGGTCTAACCAGGACACATTGGAGAGGTTACATCTCCAATCTGTTCTGGGAACGCCTTGGGGTCCTGCCGGAGGAACTGGTGGAGGTGGCTGGGGTAAGGACGGTCTGGAGCTCCCTAGTTGGGATGTGCCCCCGCGACCTGGACCCGGATAAGCGGAGGAAGATGACGATGACGATTACCATGACCTTATTGATATTGGAGGTAAAAAATCGGAGTCATACGGGTCTAAAGCTCCTTCTCCTTCAAACTCTAATCTGGAATTAAATACAGCAGCAAAATATGACAATATTTACTGGCATGTATCATTTCAATGACAATAATTTGTTACTTACAAACTGTTTTCCAAACTATTGGCTCTTTCCTCGTCTAAATAGTCCTCTTTCAGCTCCATCGATTTGATGCTACAAAAACAAACAGAATACATTAATTATGAAAACAGAGGGTAAGCATCAAATGATAAAAAGCCCTGCATATTTACCTTTCCTCCAACAATTCTACCCCTTGATCTGCTTTTAGAGGTTCAACTCCTGCGATCTGGAAGTCATCCCTGTAGATAAATAGTACACAGTATTTCTTTTGTTTGATGTGGAGAACAATAATCTGAAATATGAGTTGCATTTTGTGTACAAGTAAACTTACCGATCAGATTCCCCTGCAGTTACTGAACTGGGGCGACGGGGCCCTGCAAACACTGCTGTAGATGGCCCATATGGTGTCGATGTTAGTGGTCCCTTTGATAAAGCGTGCTTCTCATAACTAATACAATAAAGCACCTTTTAATACTCCAGTCATAATGTGCACACGTTTACAATTGAGTCAGTTATGTAAACACTTGATTTGATTAGCGACACAGTTTTACAAAGTTTAGACTGTTTTACACAATTGTAGTGAATTACACAAACAATATACTCTGATGTGCAGACACCCTAGACAAGCAGCCTATAAATGTTACTACTATGATATACGGAAAGCCCCCAGCTTGCTTTGAAAGCATCCACAACCCTTTCCCCGCACGTGTTTATTAAGAATTTCTTACCTTTCCAGCAAAAATGATGCCAGCTGCGGGTCTGTTTTCATACCGAGAGACTCTCAGCATTTTCCACTTCTCAAATGCCGGAACGATATTTATCCTCGTTTGTTGCCTTTGGCGATCACAATCGAGTTTTGCCCGTTTTCCTGCGCTGGAATACACTCTTCTTGGTTTCTTTGTCTTGTTTGGGGTCTGGGCTGGAGTTCCGCTGGTGATTGAAGCAGCTCTCTTCTTGTTCTTTGCTGAATCGATGCTACCAAGACCACATCTTGCTCTGTCGCTAAGCCATAGCTAGAAAACAAACGCTGCGGTGAAATGCCTGAGCGTGAACGCGCCTGACATCATCGTGTATTACGCTGCCTCTGGAAGATCCTGGGGAAGTCTGCTTGCTCGACCCGAGCATGATCTTTTGTGTTTTTTGTCTTACCTGCTTTTCTGAGTGTACTGTCCTCTATGCTGCAACGATGAAATTTCCGACGTGTGGGACTAATAAAGGTTTTATCTATCTATCTATCTATCTATCTATCTATCTGTCTGTCTGTCTGTCTGTCTGTCTGTCTGTCTGTCTGTCTGTCTGTCTGTCTGTCTGTCTGTCTGTCTGTCTGTCTGTCTGTCTGTCTGTCTGTCTGTCTATCTATCTATCTATCTATCTATCTATCTTATTTGTGATTTTACAGGCCTACAGAGACAATCACAGTAAAAATGCCAGGGCTCATTCTACAGGACCAGGGCATTGCAGAAGAATGTATGAATAAGAAATGTATTATTTCTATATATGTTTTGACTGTCACACTTCCTTATAGTCCCTTAAATAAAACTAATTAGATTAAGTAAAACAGCTAACTAAAACTAATACAGAAGAAGCACCATGTAAAACCTAAACTGTGTAAAGACACATTTTTAAACATGAGCCTACTCTTCAACATCTGGTTTTATTATGAAATCAACTTTTTTCTAACAAAACCACCTGAAAGACCTTGTTTTTTTTTCTAACTTCAGATGTTTGATTGCTTTCCCAAAGTTATAATGACTTTCTGCAAACAAATTGAAAATCATCTGTGTTTCCCTACATTGTGTTTCCTTTTAGCACAGACAAAATCTTGTGGCTGCAAATGGTTTTCTGTATTACTCTAAATCTTCGTTCTCATTTATTTAATGGGATCCATGAGTATTCTACCTTTGTTCTGTTTCACATGCTCCACCCGCTCGGTTTAATCTAACTCTGCCACATTACTCAGCTCCAGGTCAGCCACACACGTCTCAAAATATTAGACTATCACGAAAATGGTCTGTACTTTTTGCCACTCATTTTAGAAACTGAAACTGGATTTATAGATAAAATGTTTAAAGTATTTTGTAATATTTATGGTATCAGATAAGAAATAAAGCTTTGTGCCTCCAACATTTAAGATTTACGTAAGATCATTTAAACATGATATTTGAAACAATTTCTGTCTTCTGAAGTGTAAGTTCACTTCCCATTTCTTGTTCAGAAAAAAAAAAGTATTAAACTTTTCAAAATACTGTAAATCTGATCAGTTTTCATCTCATCCATTACTTCTGCATTTATCCTCATGTAGCGGAGAACAATCGTCATCCAACTGTAAGCTGATTTAGGTGAAGCCAAGTCATCAGGAAATAGTTATTGTTATACTGGTTCATTTAAAAGTGTGAAGACCACAAATGCTCCTGACTCCAGATAAAAAGGAATCTGCTCACACATTCTTGATTCAGAGTTGAATTCTATCTATGTGTTATAACACCAAAACCTAATGCATACTCACTCTCAGGAGCCTAATGAACTTCTTATTGGACTCTGAATTTTGATTTTATTTTACCAGTGTACCAAATTAGATTTTTTTCCTCCCCTAGATGCTAATTTAACTCTAAAATTTTAGCCAAACAAGCAGCCAGCTGTTAAAAACAACCTTCAGTGAAAGCATTCTGGCCTTGGAAATTAGGCGCTCTGGCTCCCAGCCTTTTCGGGTTCTGTGAACTTTTCTGAGATCAGACTAAAACCAACCTTTAATTTAAATATGACTTCCCATTACTAGTGATTTACCAGCATGACGACAAATAACTAAATGTCGCTGTTGCCTTTGCATGAATATTTTAAAATAGTACAAAGGGTTTGTTTTGAACCGGTACAAATGAACAATCTGTTTCCCTTTCAGCAAACATTCTGTGTAACGAGAAAAAAAAGGTAACAGTTTTATGTTCACTAATGGCAATTAAAAGGTTTGAGCCAATCTGTTATCTGACAAAACATTAAAACTTGCCATGAAAAGCCTGATGAAAATCCACAAAATCTAACTGATTGTTAATTCTACACATGCAGAATGATCAAAAAGCGCGTGGAATTACTTCATAACAGACTGAGCAAGAAATTATAACTTTTCAGACAAATTTTAAAGCACATTAGCTCTATAAACTCTGCATTGTTGAGGGTGAAGAAACCCTATTATTTTTGTCTGACTTGAGAAAAGCCATCTGGCGCCTCAGGAGGGGAAAGCAGTGTGCTATCAACACTGCTTATAGTGGGGATGGTGCGCTGCTGACCTGGACACAGAACGTTGTGGATCGGTGGGTGGAGTACTTCGACGTCTTCCTCAATCCCATTGGCACGTCTTCCAGTGAGGAAGTGGACCCTGGGCACTTTGGGTTGAGCTTTTCAGTCTCTGGGGCCGAGGTCACTGAGGTTGTCAAAAAGCTCTTTGGTGGCAAAGCTCTGGGGGTGGATGAGATCCGCCTAGAGTTCCTTAAGGCTCTGGGTGTTGTAGGGCTGTGTTGGCTAATGTGGCTCTGCAATATCGAGTGAATATTGGGGCAGTTCCACTGGACTGGCAGACCGGGGTGGTGGTTCCCTTATTTTAAAAAGGGAACCGCAGGGTGTGTTCCAACTACAGGGGGATCACACTCCTGCGCCTCCGGTAAGGTCTATTCAGGGGTTCTGGAGAGGAGGGTCTGTCGGATTGTCGAACTTCAGATTCAGGAGGAGCAATGTGGTTTTTATCCTGGCCATGGAACACTTGACCAGCTCTATACCCTTAGGGGGATCCTGGAGGATGGGTGGAAATTTGCCCAACCAATCTACACGTGTTTGTGGATTGTCTGCATTGCTGACATTAAGTCGGGCTTGTTGCCAGTGCGAGTTGGACTTCGCCAAGGTTGCCCTTTATCACTGATTCTGTTCATAACTTTTATGGACAGGATTTCTAGGTGCAGCCAAGGTGTTGAGGGGATCTGTTTTGGTGGCCTAAGGATTCAATCTCTGCTTACTGCATCTGTGGTCCTGTTGGCTTCATCAGAATGTGATTTCTGACATTTGCTGGAGCAGTTCACAGCCAAGTGTGAAGCAGCTGGGATGAGAATCAGCTACTCTAAATCAGAGACCATGGTCTTGAGTCGGAAAAGTTTAGAATGCCTTCTCCAGGTCAGGGATGTGGTCCTGCCCCAAGTGGAGGAGTTTAAGTCTCTCTGGGTTTTGTCCACAGTGAGGGAAAACTGGAGGGTAAGATCGATAGGCGGATTGGTGCTGCATCTGCAGTGATGCAGGCGTTGTACCAATCTGTCGTGGTGAAGAGAGAGCTGAGCCAGAAAGCGAAGCTCTCGATTTACCGGTCAATCTATGTCCCTATCCTCACCTATGGTCTCAAGCTTTGGGTAGTGACCAAAAGAACAAGATTGCGGACACAAGCAGCCAAAATGAGTTTTCTCTCCACATGGTGGCTGGGTTCTCACTTAGAGATGTGGTGAGAAGCTCTAACAGAGGTTCAGAGTAGATCTGCTGCTCCTACACATCAAGAGGTGCAATGGCTCGGGCATCTGATTAGGATACCTCCACGCTGGAGGGATTATGTCATCTGGCCAGGGAGCATTTTGGGAAGACGGAAGAGCTGGCCCAAGTGACCAGGGAGAGGGAAGTCTGGGCCTCTCAGCATAGGCTGTTGCCCCCGCAACCCGACTCCAGATAGGTGGAAGAAAATAGATGGATGGATGGAAAAAGTCAGGACATGAAGAACAACCAGTAAAATAAATTAGCACAGATTTCTGTTTCCCAACAGAAATGAGAATGTTTGCGAAAATGTCACATTTTTAGATCTGTGTCATAATTCAGATGCAACTAGAAATTGGAACAACAACCTCAATGTTTGAATGTCAGGAAATGCCAAGATGACCTTCCTTTGAAACTGTTAAAATATATTCATGGTATATTGTGGTGTTGGTGGAACTTTTAAGGAATTGGTGGCATTTTAAAGCCTGAATTAATTCTTAGTTATACAAAATAAAACATTTGATTTTATGGATGCAATTAAAATTTGACTGAATTATTCCAAACAGAGTCTGTATTTCCACCATTATGGCCATCATGAACCTATAAAAATGCAGAAAAGATAATGATTACCCATTATTTATATTTTTACTATAAAAAACCTAACAATAACTGTCTTCTAAAACAGCATTTTGTTGACAGAAAAAGCTGTACACAAAATTATGAAGATTCGTTGACAGTCACAGTTTAAAAACTGGCCATTATTTAACCCAGAACTAAAACATACTACTGATATACTAAAGCTGGGTTTCTTAAAGTGACAGTGTGTGACTTCCTGGCAATAGGGGGCAGTAGATACCTAAATTGTTGCAAGCAAGCTGTACTTTTGTGTTGGAGTAAGGCCTTACCAATAGATGCCCATTAGGGTCAAAAAGCCACAGGGAGTGCAAACTCCAGCAATATGACGAGCATATCAGATTCCCTTTCATCACTGGCAATGAGTGATGAGGAAAATGTTTAAAACAATGTTTATGAATGGTGAAAGTTTTGTAATTGTTTGCTACAAATCAGTAAATACATTTTGTCCTCACGGGCTCCCGTAGAATGAAACATGGCATCAAATATGCTTGTCCAGAGACTTAGTCCTGCTCCCATGTATTTTTGGCCAGATTTTTATGGTTATATGTTAAGAAGCCGCCAATATTTTTCAACAAATGGGCATCATTTCATTCATTTTCAACAACATTTTGGTGGATGTTTACAGAGACTAACGATAAAAACTACACATTGTCCCCTTAAATAAACCATTGTGTTTGGCTCCTGAAAGGGGAGAGTAATTTGCCTGGCAAGCTCTCCTATATATGTGAATATAAAGCCTGGCCAGTCGCGGGGCAGGATGTACGATTGTCTTTCAAACTGTCTCCACATGCTATTGGACAACGAACAATGTGACGTACTCACCACCATGGATGTCAGTCAACGCTGTCGAATAAGACACAAAGTAGTGATGCACCGATATGAAAATTTTTGGGCCGATATCCGATATTGAGATCACTGTTATGGCCTATAACTGATATTTGCCGATATCGATATACTGACATTAATGCTTCTAAAATCAGCAGATTTTGTAT